AAAGAAAATCTACTGCACTGCTGCTTAATATGACAACAAATACTCACACTGACATTGGCTCATTAAGAAAATATCTTGCTCACTATAGGGCTTTCTACAAAAAGAGAGTTTACAATTTATAATAAAAATGCACTGAGATGTCAATTTTGTGAATATTTCACTTAAAAGAAATAACTTCATATCCACAATGCTGTTTAAAGAAATAATCGTGGAATTGATTAATATAGTTATTCTGAGTCTTAATTAGAAAATACACAAAAGCCACATGAATATGTACCACCACCCTCCAAGTTGGAGGCATAATTGGACATTGGTAGCTCAATTTTCTCAGTTCAGAGAGAAATTTTCACAATTAAAATAATTAATTGTGGCTTTGAATTACCTTAGTAGTTAGGCTAATCCAATGATTCTTATAAAAATAAAGGTGATTTTCTTCCTCAGTAGACATCTGGCAAGAGCTGGAGAAAGCTTTGGTTCTTACACCTGGTAAGGAGCCGATTGGCATCAATCAAGTTGGCTGAGGCTGGGAATGCTGCTAAATACGCTACCATGCAAAGGACAGTTCCTCACAGCAAAGAATTCCCTGGCTCAAAATGTTAGGTGCCAAATTTAGGAAATCCATGCCTAACCCGAATTCATTTAGTCCACATTAGTCTGAGGTAAAAAAACAACAGCCTAATGCACAAACCTCTAAGTCTCTATCACAAACCATTATGGTTTTAGGTAACATAAGAAGCCTACTTAGGTCTCTTGTAGGAAATCAGGTTTGCCTCTAGAAGTAGTACAATATGGACAAAGGTGCAAGTTCCCTACTTGGGGAAAAAAATAAACTGGAGTCTTGGCAATGTTCTGTTCGTGTTCTGGGTATAGGATGTGTACATGTGTATTCTATTTATGAAAATTCTTCAAGCTGTGTAATTACAATCTGCATACTTTCCTGCACATGAAATATATGCCAATAAAATTTATAAAGCTTCTTAGTTTGTTATGTAGTGTCTGAGGTCTGAACCTTAGTGCAAAAAACCACTCAAGGCACAATTACTCTCTACTTGGAACAGAAAAGATAGGAGAGTTAGAAACAGGACGAGGATACAGGATGTGCGGCTAACAGCCTCCATGAGCAACTGCCTCCTTTGCCATGTGTGGTAGTTACATAATCTGGTGCCAACTTAAGACTATCAAGAGTGAAGGGGTGGACTTTAGCCTGTCAATCAAGTCGCTGCTTGATGACCTCATTTAGAGGTGTTACAGAGATAAATAGCTCGCTGGAGGTGGGACACAGAGACTCTCAAGCTTCATATTCCTGATAACAAGACACATGGAGCTACGCTTGAGCCCTGAACCTAAAGAAGCCACATGGATACCCTTGCCAGTGCTGAGATGCTTGTACCGCCACTGGATCCACAAGACTTTCCACCCACTGGCTTATGATCTTCCTGCTTTTAGCATCATTACATGTGTTGTGTGAGTCTGAAGAGAAATTTATGGATTGGTATCAGATATATGGGCTAATATTGGACTTATGGACTTGATCTGGACTGGGTTGTTTTCTCAATATTCCATTGCTCTTGTATATAAAGCTCTTTGTTATACACATATGAACGTCCATGAATTTGTTTCTCTAATCAATCCAGAGTAACACGCCATGAGAATAAACTGAATGGTACTCAGCTATCATTACTAAATATTTTTATCAAAGTTGGCTTAGAAAGATTCAGATCAAAGGGGAGGAAATGCAGAACTGAATTAAAAATTCTCATAGACTAAGACTTGTGGAAGGCAAATGAAACCCTAAGACCACTGCACTGAGATCTTTAAACCTTAAACCTCAACTATCCCCTGAAGTCTTAAAACTGAATAATAGTGCTAAGTGGTAGGAAAAAAAGGTCTGCTTTTTTTAAAAAATCATTTTATTAGGGGCTCATACAACTCTTATCACAATCCATACACACATCAATTGTGTAAAGCACATTTGTACATTCATTGCCCTCATCATTCTCAAAATATTTCCTCTCCACTTAAACCCCCGGCATTAGGTAGGTCTGCTCTTTTAAGAACTATCCATATGGAAGCAATTTCACAACAGCAACTTGAAAAATTAGATAGGAACCTTGGTGGGTATTAAAGTTATGTTAACAAAGGAGAATACAACTCAAAAAAGGTCGAAAATAGCTAATCAACTCAAAGAATGTAATCACTGTCACTAAATGACACTTGTAGAAACTCAGTTGGGGTATGTCTTGCTGTGTATATTCAACAACAAAAGTTTACTGCTTAGGGGGAGAGCAAATGTTTTGAGAATGATGAGGTCAATGAATGTACAAATGTACTTTACACAATTGATGTAGGTATGGATTGTGATAAGAGTTGTATGAGCCCCTAATAAAATGATTTTTTAAAAAAGTTTACCAAAACGGAGGTACCCTGGATACTAGGCTCCCACTGACAGGCTAAGGAGGACGATTGTGAGAGCACGGATCTATGAAGTACTTCTTATGCCTCTCCCTTTTTTCATTTGAAGCAATGCTGTAATAACAATTTCAAACGAAGTTAATCATGTGGTATTTCCATATCATGATCATCAAGTCTAAATGCATGCGGTATGCCAGGATATTGTAGGTACCGGAAACTCCTGTTGCCATTGACACGATGCTGACTCCATGTATGTCAGAGAAGTGCTCATCAAGGGTTGTAATCTACGGCAGATCACCACGCCTTCCCTCTATGGAGGCTCTGGGTGGATTAAAACTGCCATACTGCCTAGGACTGAGTATGTACCATCCATGCAAGGCATGGAACACGAATATTGACTAACCTATATTAGGGTTTCTACCTCAAATAACAGTAGGAAAGGTCTTCAAACTTGTTTTAATGTATGAGCTTATCTACTGCTGCAAGTCTTCCTTGTTACTTTTGTTATGAAAAAGATATTAATTCCCAGTAAGAAAAATCCATTTCTATAATATCTCGACAATCAATTTACTTGTAGCCTGTCAACTCTCACATGGCTATGAGACATTTTCAAATAATACATATGTATAAGTACAAACCATTGACTTTTCTTCTTATGTCAAGGTTACCAAGAAGGAAAAGCTAAAAAGGAAGCTGCTTGGGAGAAATGTTAACTTAACTAGCCAATGGCATTTATCAATATCCCAAATGATAAATCTTTATTTTGAACACTCATCAACAGGAATATTCAAATCATCACTCTCACTCAGCCAGATAGTTTACCTAAAACTTCTCTTTCCCCAGGGTGGTTTACCGCCATTTTGGATAACTGCAACAAGCTCACCACCAGCTTCACCAGAATGCCATCTTGTGGGTTTTCTAGGAATAGTTTGGAAAAAATTAGCTTAACTTAACGGTGACAGCAATTTTGCTTCAAATATACACATAAATTGTCAGACTAGAAAACATTCACCAAAACAAAATGCAAAAAGCTTAAAAACAGTTTTCAATCCTAAGCAGCTGGAAAATGATGCATCAAATATAAAACCATCTGATGAACAATATCTAGCAAAGAAAGATGTCTTGAAAAACTGCAAAAAAAGTCCTTACTTTAGCAAAGACATTAACAGAAACGCAGACGTCACTTAACCAAAAGCCAAAAGGGACCACGAGAAATTGCTCGTTTTTTTAAAAATCTTCTTACATCTAGAATCTATACTAGCTTCACCCAATAGAACATTCTGCAGTGATGCAATGTTCTATAATCTGTGCTACCCAAAAAGCAGCCATTAGCCACACGTAACTATAGAGAACTTAAAATTTATAGGAAATGACTTCAAATTATTTAAATTTCAACTAAACTACATTTAATTTAGATTTACATAGCTCCAACTTGCCAGTGGCTGCGCTGGATGAAGCAGGTTTAGACCAATAAAATATTAAAATACTGGAAACAAGGGCTAGAGGTATCCATATAGAATAGATATGCATAATATTCAAATACATTAGAAACTTTGAGGACCGATGATTAAAACCAAAGTTAACTTCAAAAAATAGCAAAGATAAAAATTTTACAACAGAAAAATGAAATATACTCAAAAAGATGAAAATCAAAACAAAAAGAATTACCCCTCAAGTGCAAAATTGTAGTATAATTTAAAACTCCAAAATAACAAACTAGAGATGTTTGCTGAAAAAACAAAACAAAACAATAAAACCAACAACCTAGAAACACAAACATACAAACATGTACATCTATATAAATACATAAACACAAAACACATCTGCACAGGTGTACATGGGTATAGGGCTTAAAATAAGATTCATTTTGGATGTTCCAGCAGATTGGAGAAGAAAGCACAGACATAATACTTAGGATGCTCAAATGAAAACCATTCCTATAGAGGGTTTCTGGAATGGTACATCTTTAAGGGAGGTCGCAGTCTCATCTTTTCCCCTGGAGTTCGTGGCTTTGAACTGTCAACCCTTACGATTAGCAGCCCAATGCTTAATCTATAGCACTAAAGTGTTTTTTTTTTCCTTTTAGGTAGAAGAAAGTTGTTAAAATTCTTAAATGAGTACTATAAAAAGATCGTGTTTCAGCTTCTGCAAAATTATGCTGGCAGAGGTGTAAGGATGGACAAAATGGCAGTGATTCAAGGTAAGAACACTAACTAGCAAGTCATTTTTATGTTTCGAAGGGAAATGCTAAGAGTCTAAGCTAAATCATGATGGTGTGAACTAAGACAGTGACAACTGAACCAAGAGCAAGGAGTTTGGGGAAATCGTTTTTAAAAGAAAGAGGTATAAGTAATCCATGGATTAAAATCAGTACCCTGAGAAGCTCTCGTGAGACCCTTGATTTGATCTTTATGCTGCTCCAGCTGCCTTCGGAGCTCCTTCAGTCCTTCGAGTCTTGTCAAAGGTAGCGCATCATAAACACTCACTGAGAGGAAATGATTAATTTCCTAAAAGGAGAAAATTGGTTAAAGATGCAACATGCTTTTAGCACATCTTAGTTAAGTTTGTGAAGTAAAATTTAATAAAAGGGAAAAGACCATGGGTCTTGTATAAATACTGACTGGTATCATTAATTATAACAAATAAAATAGAAATAAATTTCTTCTACTTTGAATTCTACAATTTGTTTCAAATCTTCAAATTCCAATAGACTCAGGATAACAGATTTCAAGAGTGTGCAGCATAACCAATTGGAGAAAAAAAATGCCCAAATTTCTACTTAGTTACTAGTTTTACATTAAATATGTTTAAATATATTTTCATATTGCTATATAGTCAAATACACTGACTTTAAAATAACCAAATTATTAAAAAAACAATCACACCTAATATCCATCCCAGAAAAACCATTGGTGTTTCTTGGCCTGGGGTAACAATGTAAAGATGGCCAAGAATAGGAGGATGTGGAGTTTCCTAATTGTCTCCAGAAACAATTACCTCCTTTGCCTAAGACCAGAACTGGATAGTGCCCAACCACCATTGCAGAAGATTGTGATCATGGATTCCACAGAAAAATCCTGATCAAATGGGGAAAATCTGGCACAGAATATCCAATGTTCCCAGACTCCAGACTTTTTAGAGTCATGGAAGGTACCTAAACCCCTGACACTATTATTCCACGATAATCCTTACACCTTAATCCAAAATTATCCCCTGAAGTCTTAAAAACAAAGAGCAGTTTAGTTTAACTACTAAAGAATGTCTGCGTTGAAGACTGTGCTCCTTCAAGATCTACCTGTGTGGGATCAAAGTGATGGCACGACTGGGAAGCTAACACAGCACTCTCAAACAGAGGGCGAAATGGAGCACCACCCGATGAACGCCATGTCAGTCACCCAACTGTACACGCAGAAACTACTGGATTAGTATGTGTTTTGCTATATATATTCTCAGTAACAACGAAAAAGGTTTATAAAGATTAAAGAAAATTCACATTGATAAAACTTTTTAAAAAGTTAACTGCCATCTTGAAACCAAATAATAAATTGTCTTTCAAAAGATCAGACAATAATTTTAAGGTACTAATGGATCATAGAATATGATGCACATCAAAACACAACATATTTAATATCACATCAGGAAACTGATATTTATCTTTTTACTGCAATATAAAAGAAGAAATTAAGATTCCATCTTTATGCCTACAGCATGAGCTATTGAAAAAGTTTTACTACCTATGTTTTCTAATACAAAAAGGAAGATGATAATAAAATTACCTCCAAGAGTAAAAATGGTCCTCTACTATATTTGATTTTCTGCTGCGTAATACGCAAATCCTTAAAAACAACGTGGTCAGGAAAAGGATCTAAAAGCTTAATTGTGAGATACAGGTTTTCATTATCCTTGTTATCTATCACTAGGTATTTTAACAAGTCCAAGACCTAAATGGAATTAAAAGAGTAAAAGATTGAAAAGGGAGGAACGATTTAATTATATTGTAAAGTAAGACAACTAAGATCAATGTAATACAAATCATTCTACATGTTTCAAATTTTTAAATATAGTTATTACTTTTCTATGCTTTCAAATAATTCACAAATATCGAATGTGCTACTATAGACTGCAGTGTAGTATATTACTTAAATATTTTATAAAAGTAATTTAACACATCGTTACAGTAATAAATATGAACCACTATCACTAGTTTTCAGTATTTCTATACTTCATCATAAGTAACAGAAACTGAAAGGTTATTTAGTAAATAAAAATGATTAGTAATTAACAGATAACAAAGATTACTAACTGAATTTTTTCCAACATCAAGTAAAAACAAAACACACACACACAAAGTAAACACAAAACATTGGACTCACTCCAATAAAACTTGATCAATGTATTTCAAATATTGTTCTGAAAATTATTCAGATTACCTGTTCCTGAACTTCCAATTGACCATTAACCAGGGGGATAAGAGTACCAACGATAACATGGAGATGGCTTTCTAAAGCATCCTTGCAGAACGCCACTGCGGTCTGGCAAACCCGACTTAAGAGGTCACAACAAAGGGAGAAGGTGCGTAAGGACACATCCATGAAGTGAGAGGGCCTAATACAGGGGGGTGGGGGGGAGAGACATGCCATCACATAATTGACTCTATGACGCTATTTTTAAGCAGTTAAGTATTTAACTCTTTCCAAAATAAATAAATTTTTAAAAATTTAAACTCCATTTTTATCTATATTAAGCAGTTCTAATTCTGATATGGCTTGACATGGAGGTCACTTTCGTATCTAATTCTTCCAATTTTAGTATATGTGCTGCCGAAGCGAGCACGCGTATCTAATTCTTAATAGTTTAAAAGACCAAAAGAAAAATATGAGACAAAATGGAAACAAGACATTCCTCAGGTGCTGGGAAAAACTCATATTTGATAGTAATGTTATTTACTGACAACCAGTGAAATCTCACTAAAATCAGAGGAAAGGTTCAGAGACACTACACTGAATCTATAACCCAATTTAAAGTAACAAACATACAGCTGAACCTTGAACATGGTTGAGAACTGCAAACTCACAAAGCAATTCTCCTTCCCCTGTAGTTTTGTAGCCTAAGTGCTGTGAATTTAAGCAAACTCAGGGACAAAAAAAAAAAAAAAGAAAATCCCTGTACAAGTGGTGCCCTGCAGTTCATCTCCATGTTGTTCAGGGTTCACTGTAAATTATACATGGATTTTCAACTGGCTAAGGTGCCCACTCTCACATTATTCAAGAATCAATTTTTTAAAATCATTTTATTGGGGGCTTGTACAATTCGTATCACAATCCATACATACATCCATTGTGTCAAGCACATATATACATTTGTTGCCCTCATCATTCTCAAAATATTTGCCTTCTACTTTAGCTCTTAATATCGGCTGCTCGATCAATTTTATATATATTGAGATTTTCTACACAGAATATTTGTTTTAAATATTAGAGAAGTATTCATTTTTAAAAAGTTGACATTTACACCTACGATTCCAAAGAAAAACTAAAACAATCTTAGTTTCTCTTAAGAATATGCATTACTGAAATTTAAAAAATACGGTAAAAGAAACTTATATAGTGTTCCAAATATATTTTTACCTTTTGTTGATATAGTGGATCAAAGTATAAATAACATCTCGAAGAACAAAGGCCCAAGCTCCTCCTAAGCCACTTTTTATCTCCTTCAGTAATAAACTAACAAACAGGTGATATATTTTAAGAATTCTCTTCTTTTTATATACATTATTTGTCTCAGCTGCTTGTTCACATATAGCTAAAAGAATTTTTTGATAGGAATCCTAGAAAATAAAAAAAACATTTAATAAAAACTTATCTAATCACAAACACTCAGCAATAATACATTTTATACTTAAGGTAACTAAGTTGCAGAATTTAGATTTGAGTTTGATATCCAATAAAGCCTCAAAATTGTTATCGTAAACATAAAAATAACTACAGCCAATTTATTTAGCTTTAAGAATAGGCATTCTACAGCATTTTCTTTTCGTATTAATAAATACTTTTATTGGGGGCTCTTACATATCTTATCACAATCCATACATTCATCCATTGTGTCAAGCACATTTGCACATATGCTGCCATCATCATTTTCAAAGCATTCTCTTCCCACGTGAGCCCCTGATATCAGCTCCCCATTTCTTTCTCCTTCCTCCCCGCCCACCTTCCCTCATGAGCCCTTAATAATTTATAGATTATTATTTTCATATCTTACATCGTCTTCCATCGCTCCTCAACCACTTTTCCATTGTTCGTCCCCCTGGGAGGGGTTGATCCTTTGATCCAATTCCCCCTTTCTCCCCCCACCCTCCCCTAATCCTCCTGGTATCTCTACTCTCATTCTTGGTCCAGCATTTTCTTATTTAAATAAAATTAGTATATTCAATGAGCGAATACACAATCAAAAACTCAAAACAAACAAAATAACCAAACTCTCTGCCATTGAGTTGATTCCAACTCATAGCAACCCTAATGAACAAAATAGAATTGCTCCTGTGGTTTCCGAAACTGTACCTCTCTATAGGAGTAGAAAGCCTCATCTTTCTCTAAGGAGCAGCTGGTGGTTTTGAATTGCTGCCCTTGTAGTTAGCAACCAAACAAGTAACCACTAAGGCAGGCCTCATATAAAACATACTTCAAATTCATACTCACCACTAAAATACCAAGATGTAAACGTGTAAATGAGTGCCAATTTAAATGATCCAAAATAGAATTTTCATTTATTTCTCTAAGATACATCTACTTTCTTCAATTATTACACAAGTAGTTTATACTTACAGGGCTTTTGGAAAGAATTTCTAAGATGCTCTTAAACTTGGTTTTATGGCAATTGCTGATATAGGCAAATGTTGCCTTAATTACATGCGATGGAAAATAAGGTGGATTAGGAGCAGGATCCAAATCCCTAAAAATGTTAGAAGATATAATGCAATCAGCATTTTAACCCTTTTACTTATTTTTAAAATATACTTTATATTTTAGTCTTAAGTATATAAAAAAATTGTGCTAAAAGTACGTAGTTTCCATATACAGTACTCCCAAATCCTCTTATAAATTTTTTCTCCTGTTGACATTTCTGAGGTACAATCATTATAACTGACCAATCAATGTTGATACAGCGTGAGTTCATGGCTTACATTACGGTTCTAATTTGTGTTGTACAGCCCTGTGGGTTTTGACACATACGATGGGGGTACCCCCCTACCAAATGGTATATTTTTTCTCAAAGCTATGAATTTAAACATTTTTACAAAACAACCATATCACCTTCAAAGTACTCTCCATTACACTTAATAAATTGGTCAAATCTGTGATGATTCCATTCTTTTTTTTTTTTAATGATTCCATTCTTGGAAACATTTTTCAAACTCATCTGTTTGGATGGCTGACAGCACCTCCCTAGTTTGTGTCTTCACCTCTCTATGTTGGCAATTTGCTGTCCTTCCATGTCTTTATTCATTCGCGGAAACAAAAAGATGTCGTATGGAGTGAGGTCCAATGAGTAAGATGCATGGGGTCGGAGAAGCATGCTGTTTTTTGCCAAAGACTGGTGCACTGAGATGGCTACATGAGCAGGTGCGTTGTCATGGTGGCAAAACCAGTCCCCCATCTGCCACAAACCAGGCCTTTTTGGTTACGTAATCTTTTCAGAAACTCTAAATAGAAAGCTTGATCAACAGTCTGACCTGGTGGAATGAACTCCAAATAAGTCGACATTTTCATCCATTCAGGAAGTTGATGGATGTCGAGAACAAGGTTTGTCATACATAAATCGACATTTCACCTTTTTGGAAATGAGAAAGCCACTCATACACTTGAGTTTTTCCCATAGTGCTGTCTTTGCAAGCTGTGTTCAACACCACAACAGTTTCTGAGGCATTTTTCTTGAGCAGCAAACAAAATTTCACAGCCCACTCTATTCTCTTAAATCGGCCATCACAAAAAATGTTATTTGAGCAAAACTGCTTTTACGCAATAATTCACTGTGACCGGAGAGAACCTTCCCAGGTGATGCCACTTGGAACACTAACTCCGAGTGAGTGGCTCAATGCTCGCCTTGCAGGAAAAATGTGTACTACAAAAGCTCCACTCAGCCCAGTGAATCCTTCGTACTTCATGTCACATGTCCACAATTACAGAATCAAACAAGAGTTTCACTGCCCTAAAAATGCCTTGTGTTCCAACTATTCAACCCTCTTTCCCCTTTCTCTCTTTGTTGCAGCATTGTCAATCCATCTTTTTTTTTTTCTTTCTTTTTTTTTATTAGGGGCTCATACAACTGTTATCCCAATCCATACACACATCAATTGTGTAAAGCGCATTTGTACATCGTTTCTCAAAACATTTTCTCTCCATTTAAACCCCCGACATTAGGTCCTCATTTTTCCCCTCCCTCCCCGGTCCCCACTCCCGCATGAGCCCTTGATAGTTTATAAATGGGTATTTTGTCATATCTTGCCCTGTCTGACGTCTCCCTTCATCCACTTTTTGGTTGTCTGTCCCCCAGGGAGGAGGTCACACACAGTTCCATGTAATCGGTTCCCTCTTTCCTACCCATTCTCCCTTTACCCTCCCTGTTTTGCCACTCACACCACTGGTCCTATAAGGCTCATCCATCCTGGATTCCCTGTATTTTCAGTTCCTATCTGTACCAGTGTACCTCCTCTGGTCTAGCCAGCCTTGCAAGATAGAATTCGAGTCATGGTAGTGGGAGCAGGGAGGAAACCTTTAGGAACTAGAGGAAGGTTGTATTTCTCATCATTGTTACATCTGTCAATCCATCTTATTGAAAGTCTTCCTCCTTTTCACTGATCCTTTCCTTTACGAAACATGACGTCATTCTCCTGATATGTCTATAGTATGTGAGATGAAGTCTTGCCATCTTCACTTCTAGGGTGAATTCTGGCTGTATTTCTTCCAACACAGATCAGTGCATTCTTCTTGGCAGCCCGTACATACTCAACATTCTTTGTTAAAACTCTAATTCAAAGTATCATTCCTTAGTCATCATCCAGCACATATGAGGTGATTAGCTTAGGTGGACTGACACAGTGGCTGCAACAATGGGCTCAAATGTAACAGCCCTTGTAGGACGGCAAAGGACTGGACAGTGCTTCCTTGTCTTGTGAACAGTCGCTCTGAGTTGAAGCATACTCAGTGGCACCCAACAATAACAAGTGGTAGAAATGAAAAATAAGAAAGCTGCTTTAGGAAGAAATAAAAGGAAGATTATGTGCTCATGCAGAATTTAAGGTAGAACTCAAGCAGATATGCTCTGTTGTTAAAAATAAAGAACTTGCCTATCTGTGAGATAAAAAGGTTGTAGACAGATCTTGGGAGTAATTTTCAAAAGAACACCAAAAAACAAAATTTTAAGGAGCACAGAAAGGGAAAGGCCACCAGAAAGGAATGCCATTCACACTCCAAAGAAGAGAACTCAGAGGACTGTGTCACGAGACCACAGATGGCACAAAGGTCAAATATCAAAGAAAAAGATGATCAGATTTGCCATGAAGGTGGTCAGCTGCAAAGCGCACTATCTGTGCAGAATCTATACTAGAAGTAAATAGGTAATTACCGTATTTTCATTGACGGGTAGTTATTTTTTTCTTTTCTTTTTTTGTTTATAAATCATGTTATTGAGGGCCTGCACAACTCTTATCACAATCCAAACATACATCCATTGTGTCAAGCACATTTGTACCATCATTTGTTCCCACCATCATACTCAAAACATTTTCTTTCTACTTGAGCCCTTGGTATCAGCTCATAATTGTTTCCCCTCCTCTTCTACCCTACTCCCTCATGAACCCTTGATATTGATAATTTATAAATTATTATTACTTTTTCATGTCTTACACTGTCCGATGTCTTCCTTCACCCACTTTTCTGTTGTCTGTCCCCCTGGAAGGGG